AATACTCGGTTTTGTATAATTCGTAAAAGTATCTTCAATGTGTGACTCATCAAACTGATTAGTCTAAAATCGCTGCATTTGGTGGGCCTGCTTTTCTTTGGTAATGTTATAAACAGTGACTCTAACCAATCATCTGGTATTTTTCCTTCGTTGTAAATTTTGTTGAAGAAAGTGGTTAAGCAGGCAATGCTTTCCTCATCCAAAAGTTTAAGTAGTTCGGCAGGGATTTGATCTGGTCCAGGTGCTTTATTGTTTTTGGCTTGCTGTATTGCCTTTTCGACTTCCGAATTCAGTATATTGGGACCTCTGTCCAACTGGTTGTCATAGGCAGTATTTGGAGCATTTTCCCTAGAAGCATCGTCAAAAAGGTCAGTGATGTATCTCTCCCATTCTTTGCACTGTTGTTCGTGATCACAAATTTTTCCGTCCGCGCTTTTAAGTATGTGAGCATTTTTCTGTTTTCTAATTCCGGCAGTATATTTAAGTTTCTTATGCAGGTTGAAGCTGTCATGCTTTTTTTGGAGGTCTTCTATTTCTTTACATAAATTCTCAAGCCAGGATTCTTTGGCTTGCTTAATTTTTCTTTTTATGCGTTTATTAATTTCACGATATTCGATAATATTTCTATTTTTGTGTTGCCGTCGAACTTCCATCAGATCTAGAATTTCTTGTGTCATCCACTCATTTTTTGCCAACATGGTAGGTGTTTTCAAAGACTCTTGTACGTTCTCTAAAATCGAGTTTTGAATGGCATACCAGCATTCGTTAATGGTTCTGTTTTCGTTTGGTATATTTGATATTCTGTGTATTTTACTATTTATTTGCTGTGTTATGTGTTCGCGAGTTTGAGGGTTTTTCAGGGGGTCGAGATATATCTTACAAGGCTTAGTTGGCTTTGTTAATTTCTTCAATTTAATTTGTATTTTGGAGCAGAGTAAATTGTGATTTGAGTTTATGTCAGCGCCGGGGTAAGTTTTTACATCTTTAATATTGTTTCGAAATCGGTGGTTTATTAGGATGTAGTCTATTTGATTCCGTACTATTCTGCCTTGATGTCCATCTTGAGGGGATTTCCACGTGTAAAGACGCCTTTCTGGAAGTTGAAACCAGGTATTTGTAATGGCGAAGTCATTTTCTTGGCAGAATTCTATTAGCCGTTCACCTCTTTGATTTCTGTCTCCCAAGCCAAACTTTCCGGTGATCCCCTGCGTCATCTTCTGTCCAACTTTAGCGTTGAAGTCACCCATAATTATTATTGCTTCGTGTTTCTTTGTTATTTTTAGCACTTCTTCTATTTGATGGTAGAATTCTTCAATATTCTGCTCATCTGCGTCAGCAGTGGGAGCATAAACTTGGATGATATTTATATTTACAGGTTTAGCATTCAGCTGTATTAAAATTACTCTGTCTGATATTGGGATGAAGTTAGTGACATACTTATTAATATGCTGTTTGATAATTATTGCTACTCCATTTCGATGCATATGGTCTTGATTTCCAGAAAAATAAACGGCGTAACCATTTGCACTGAAATTCCCTTTGTTTGGCCATCTTGTTTCACTCGCCCCCATGATAGTAATGTTTAATCTGTCCATTTCAGAGAGTAGATTTCTCAACTTACCGGCTTCATATAAGGTTGTTACATTCCATGTAGCCACTTTGTATGGATTCTTCATTTTCATCGTATGTCTAGTGATGTTTTCCTCACAGGGATTTCGCTGGCTAGCGACCTGGGAAGCCCTGTGGTTTGGTTGTGTATTCCTTCCCCTGCCGGATCTTGAGTTCCGCAGCCCATGATCAGTAGTATTCGTTACACTCATTGATTCCATGATAACTTTACTAGGGATCATAATGGGGTGGTTTCCCGTTGCCTTCCCCATCGCAGTATCACAGCCGCTTAACTCATAATGTGAGTGACGCCTGTGAGTATCTGGAATAAACCTACAGGATTTTTACTTCCCACAGCCTTAATCCAGTAATGACATTGTTGATCCGCGGGTACTTATTTGGCAATGCCTTATTCGTACCTGTCCTGCATATCTGCAGGAACTTTCCCTATCAGCCATATGGGACGTGCCGTGTCGAGGTTGAGGACATCCCCCGCCCAGTCTGTCTTCCATGAAGTACAGAAGAGCCCCTACTCAGTTCAGAGCTCCTCCTCCACGAAAGCTAGACCGGCCACAGTGTATAGCTATAAAATATACTAAAAGAAATTAATTTATTATTCTACAGAATTTTATAAATGCCTGTATGGTCAGTGCAATGTTTTGATATTCGAGAATTTGATATAAATGTGAATGCAGCTTCACTGTATATATTATTATCACTTCAGAGCGTTAGCTTTGACGCTTTTAGTATAAATATCCAAAGACGTTGAGGCCGTATTGTGTGAGTATAAATCAGGCATGGTATTGTTCCGACGGGAGTCACAAGGCTGACTTTGATTTATTTTGAAAATTGAATCGATTATGTTGTTATCAGATTGTCGATAAACTTGCGGCTTGAGTGGTTTAGTATATCTTAAAAATATTGGACACGAACAAGAAAGAAGGAATTTGGAATACGGGTTTTCTTGTTTAAGTATTATATTTCCGGAAGTAATTATTCTGTTGTTTGAGCCGGTTCTAATCCAGTTTTTTGAAGCTCTCAACCCCAGTCCAATGTATTTAATTCATTGGCCATCCTCTGATATACCTGGTAGTAAAAAAAATTGAAAATTAAAGCATAGTTCCTTATATTCATACAAATAAAGTTCCTTAGGCTCTCATATTCAACGAATTACAATGATTCGATGTTATTTGAAGGCTTGAATGCCCTTTTATGCTTAAAAAAATTTTTTTTATTGTCTCCGCATAATTGTGAAACTTAATAACTTTTTTTCAAAAATTTAGATTGCACAATTATTTCGCGAAAACTACTGGATCGATTGTACTAAAATTTTATGTAGTATTTTTAAAAAAATATTTTTTGGGCAAATTTTTAAGGTTCTATGTGGGTTTTGAATACCTAAAAATTATTGAAAAAACATTTATTTTTAATATTTTTGATAAATAAAATAACTATACTCTTTATTTGTAAAAAGTTTATTAAACAATAATTATTAGCCTGAGAAACTGAGAATATTAATTAAACATGTGTAACCGTTTTTACATATTAGAGAACATTGACATAACCTTAAAACTTAATTCTTCTTTTTCTTATATCTTGAATATTACATTATAATTGTATAAAATAAACGTAACGAAAAATAACCAGGGGACCACTCACGACTTGAACGTGAAACAACTAAACTTTTTACCAACCGGTGCGAACGACAGGCTAGTTTTCAAATTTCGTAATACCGTGTCTGGGCAACCATAACCTGATATAAAATAACTATACTGTCGATTTGTAAAAACTTTATTAAACAATAATTATTAGCCTGACTAACTGAGAATATTAAATAAACATGTGTAACCGTTTTACATATTTGAGAACATTGACATAATCTTAAAACTTAATTCTTCTTTTTCTTATATCTTGAATATTACATTATAATTGTATAAAATAAACGTAACGAAAAATAAACAGGGGACCACTCACGACTTGAACGTGAAACAACTAAACTTTTTACCACACCGGTGCGAACGACAGGCTAGTTTTCAAATTTCGTAATACCGTGTCTGGGCAACCATAACCTGATAAATAAAATAACTATACTGTCGAATTGTAAAAAGTTTATTAAACAATAATTATTAGCCTGAGAAACTGAGAATATTAATTAAACATGTGTAATCGTTTTACATATTTGAGAACATTGACATAATCTTAAAACTTAATTCTTCTTTTTCTTATATCTTGAATATTACATTAAAATTGTATAAACTAAACGTAACGAAAAATAAACAGGGGACCACTCACGACTTGAACGTGAAACAACTAAACTTTTTACCACACCGGTGCGAATGTATTTATACATCCACACCTCAGGCGGTGTATTTATACACATGCCTGAGTTTCATCCATTGTGGCTTTAATGAGTCTAATTAGCTTGTGTGGTATTGCCAATTCAGCCAATATATTATAGAGTTTGTTCCTTTTGACTTAGTCGCATGCCTGTTTGAAATCTACAAACACGTTATGAACATAAATGTTATGTTCCCATGGTTGACTCAAGATCTGTTTGACTGTAAATATTTGATCCAGTCTCGATCTTCCTCCTCGGAAGCTCGATAGGATGGATAGTCTGATACTCTCCAATAATATTTTCTGTTAGTGGTTGGAGCCGTTGGTTTATAATATACGTGAGGACTTTATATGCTGTACCGACTGGTCCAATAAGCCGATCTCTCGGCTATATATCAGAAACTATTCATGTTATAACTTTAGGAGAAAAAATTTCTTAATAAAAGTGGCCAAGAGAAATCGCTGGAAATAACTTTCAAGTTTCTGGGTTAACCGCTAGGGGGCGTAACCTGTGAAGAAAACTTTAAAATCCAGTTTTTTGGGAAATATGCCCAATTATTCCTTAATCAGGTACGATTAACCCAAATGAGGGGGTTTTAACAGGTACTGCCTGGAGTTTTTATACAGGTGGGAAATAAATAAGCGTTGCGTGATTTTTGCCATTTTTTACGTTTCTCATAAGATCAATATCTCTTTCATTGACCGGCCCGTTTTCAACGTTTTAGCTTGTTTGTAAGTTTAAATTCAGCGTTTTTTAGGCATATTTCAAATGCATTAGTTTTAGGATTTCAAATGCGTATTTGTTGCTAAAACTCAAATTTGAAACTGTCGTTCATATTTTTCACCTTTTAAAACGTATTTTGATTATTGTCGATAGGACACTCTGATAAAAACATATCGAATTTTTATCGTCGAGTTGATATAGTACGTCGAGATTTACAATCTTTTACTTTTATGCTATAAACATTATAAACAAATCATATTAATTTTCCCATGCGTGAACTAAAATGTTGTTTATGTTATCAATTTGCTATTCTCATTTTCTTTGTTTGCAGGTACCAGAATGAACTACCGAAAAGGATCAAAAGTCGTGGCAAAGATGCCCACTTAGTACACGAGGAGTTGGTACAATGCATGAAATGGAAACAGACCAGGGGGAAGTTCTTCCCCCAATTATCGTATTTGGTAAAGGTTAACACCCCTAGAGCTGTTATGGCAGAAACGAAGAGAGCCTTTAGAAAATTGCCCAATCTTGAATTGGCGATGTCGGCCCTCTCAAATTTGAAAGGAGTCGGTACCACGATGGCCTCAGGTTAGTAAAATATTTATCTGCTTTAGATTTTGCTTCGTTTTTGTGGATGTCAAAGTTATGTACAATTTGTAATATTTCTCTTCATTGTATTATTGTATCTTTAATTTTTTCTCACTAGAAAATCACCAAGTGACTGATCAGCAAATACATATTCTTAAACCATGCAATTTTAAATTTTATTGACAAATTTTTATTTAAGCCCAAAATAACTTATTTACACTACTAAGGCTATCTGATCAGTTCTATGATGATTCCAGAGATGGCAGCACTACTTGCAGGATTTTTTTCTGTGCTTTTATACAGTAGATATTATTTTATACAGTGAATAAATATTTAAATCGAGTTATAAGAAATATGTAAACCGAGTTATAAAAGTGTTGTATGTATGTGTAATAATTGCATATAAGCAAATATATGGGTTATAAAAAAAACTGAATAAAATCCGACCTCAGGGTTTAACATTTAGATCATTTTATTTATTTAATGTTAAATGTGGTTTTCAGAGTTAAATAATGTCTTTATTTTTACTACTGTTAATAATCTTCGATAAATTTCAATAATATAAAACACTTGCTCGTTTTATATAAGAGGTATTCTACAAAAATTCGCACCGTAACTGGAGCCAAATATGGTGATATTGCAATTTGCTGCCCGTACCCCGCAGTAACAAATTTTTTTTCTGTAGGTTGATACCAAAAAACATGTTTTCAGGTGCGAGCCTCAAAAAAAGGCAAATTTAAGTTTTTTCCAACAAAAAACTGATTTGTTCGCTAAAGCTATTTCATTCTTCTAGCGATCTGCCTCGAAAAACGAGTGAAAGAGACTTTTATACTTGGAGCACACACACAAATTAGGTACCAATCGCTTCGTCTTGGTCCCCAGAATGAACTCTGGCCCATTGACGAACCAAAAAACGCGAAAAAATGAAAATTGGTTCTTCAAAGAGTCAGAATTCATTCTGGGGATCAAGACGAAGCGATTGGTACGTAATATGTATGTGTGCTCCAACTATAGAGGTATCTTTTAATCTATTTTCGGGTAAAATCGCGAAAAAATGAAAAAAACGTCGATTTTAGTGACTGAATAACCGCTTGCCACGCTTTGAGCAGGTGTTTCTTGGCTCTTCAAAGGGTCAGAGTTCCTTCTGGAGACCAAGACGAAGCGATTGGTAACTGATATGTACGTGTGCTCCAAGTATAGAAGTCTCTTTCACTCGTTTTTCGACGCAGATCGCTAGAAGAATGAAATAACTTTAGCGAACACATCAGTTTTTTGTTGGAAAAAACTTAAATTTGCCTTTTTTTTAGGCTCGCACCTGAAAACATGTTTTTTGGTATCAACCTACAGAAAAAAATTGTTACTGCGGGGTACGAGCAGCAAATTGCAATATCACCATATTTGGCTACAGTTAAGGTGCGAATTTTTGTAGAATTCGTCATAACAAGTTTTGGAAAGCAATTTCAACAGAAAAGCAGTTTTAGCTCAGGTTATAAATACACCTATAACTTCGTTTCTTTTTAGACTTTTTCGAAATTTCAGGATAGCATTTCTATGATACTAAAGAATGTTTTTGCGTAAAAAAAAACAAAAATCGATTTTATTGGAAATTTAAAAAATAAAAGTCTTCTTAATGAAACTAGACGAAAGCATTCGTGGAAGCAGACTCGGCTTAAAGACGAAAACAATCCAGAAATTAAAAGATTTGTTCTATGATGTGTTGAAAAATCCACATTTCCGAGTATCAACTTCCTCGATCAAATATTCTCACAACTAAGTACCGCTTTCTTTCAATAAAAAAATGTATGGATATTAGAGATTACCTATGTTGAAAATGAAACTTTGTTCTAAGTATACAGTCTCGTTTTCATTCTCAGACCAAAATTTTTTTCAGACCACCCACATAATTTAATGTGCTAATAAAATTCAACGTAATTAAGTCACATTTTTTATAGTAGGGGCCATAAAACTGCAAATTTCACGCTCAAATTTTCAATCGGTTATGGCAATAATACATCTACCTCAAGAGTGAAACAACAAAAACTTTATTTACCTTTTAGATTTTTAGTGAAAACAGTTCTAAAGAAAATATTGAAACATTAACAGCTTGTGAATAATAAAGGAAACGTGAGATATGAGATGTTAGTAAAAAGTTCTCAGTTATTCTCGGAGATAGCAGCACACTTATTATAGCGTCTTCCAATAGAGATTACTGACCTTTGGCAGTTAGTATGACACTTGTTTGCTAGCATTATCTTCATTTTGATTTCTTCTTCGATATAGTTCTTTCTCATTGGTAACGAGAGAGCCTAAATACAGTGTGTTAAGTTTTGGATTAGGTATATACTTCTATAAATGGCAACACTGCGCGTCGTCGACTTGCACTACATATCTGCTTCGCTGACTCGTCGTTGCTCGTCGCCGTCGGCAAATTTGTCATATTGTCATTATACCGTGGTTGTTTAAAGGTATAACAGCGTAGAGTTTTAATTTATTTTTGTAAACATGTCTGTTTATATGGCCGCGGAAAAAGCTCAAATAATAAAATGGTTTTATAGTGGCAATTCTGCGCAACAGTGTGTAGATTTATTTTCTGTGTTTTTGAGGGAAGACCAATTCCTTGTGTATAGTCAATTTATATTGTTAAAAATTTTGAGAGTTGTTATTGCCTCAAAAATTGCAGAAAATGTCACGCTCAAGAACTGTTACCAGAAAATGTTGAGGAAAGAGAATACCGGGATACACAAATTTGTGCAACAATCGAGGTAGATTCAACACGTTCAAGTAGAAGCGTTGCTAGAGAGTTAGATGTTAGCAATGTTACTGTAACGAAAGTATGGAAAAAGTACGGTTACAAGAATTTTAAATATTCGAAAACGCAGCAGCTTTATCCAGACGATTACTTTCGAAGAATGGAGTTTTGTGAAACTCTAATAACCAAATTTTATTAAAAACATTTTATTCACTGATGAATCTTCTGTTTCGTTAGTAGGGAGACACAATCCTTTCATTATGAGGTATTGGGCGCGGGAAAACCAGCACAGAAGTGTTGTTTACCGAACTCAACGTCCTCAAAAAGTTAACGTCTGGACTGGCATTTTAGGAGACCACATAATAGGTGAACTTTATTAAGGGCAACTTGAATAGTAGAGTATACCTCGATTTGTTACAGAATCATGTTCTTCCCGCTATTCTCAATTTTCCTGATGTAAATCTGGAGAATGTTTGGTTTCGTCAAGACGGCTGTTCAGTTCACAACGCTCGAATTATTAGGGAGTATTTAAACAATACTTTCCCGAATCGAGTTATCAGTGGAACAGGCGATATTAAGTGGCCTGCGCGATCTCCAGATCTTACACCCATGGACTTCTTTTTTGGGGACATTTAAAAAGCATTATCTACGCTCATCCTGAGGCTAGAGCCCAAAATTTGGATGAATTAAAAAATCGAATAAGAGAAGTCTCCAATTCTGTTACAGCAGAAACTCTTTCATCTGTTCGCAGAAGTTTTTATGACAGATTGGGGTACTGTTCAGCCGTAGAAGGTCAACTATTTGAACCATTTCTGTAGGTCATAAAGAATTATTTTTTATTTTATTGGGAATGATATTTTAATTTTCAATAAGAGTATATTTTTTATTTTATATTTTTAAAGAAATACGCTTTTATTTTTAATTCAACCATAAAAAAATTTTCACATTAATAAAAATCGATAACAATGCACCGATTAGGTCAGTGCATTTTTATCGAATTTCCTACTATTAAAATCGGCTATACGTAATGAAACATGAGATCGGACAACAGTGAAGTACATCCCAAACGTTGTTGTGAGTTACTAAACTAAAATAAATGATTTTCTGTCGGTGTAGATACTGAGATAGTCTCTGGTCGGAGAACGAACATTTGCAACGTTGCCGATTTTAGCGCTCCGTATAGTGTGCAATACCTAATCAAAAACTTAACGCACTGTATATGAATTTGTCTACCATCCCAAAATTAGAGATGTCGATGGTAAAGAAGTGATGATCAATATTTCTTGTTCTGTTTTTTGATGTTTATATTATTTTTTTCCTCGTTTTTTTATTACCCCATAGCTACAGAGGTAGTTAAAACAGTCTAGATCATCTTGGACTGCCATAATTGTCGATGATTTATTAAAAATGGTTTCCCTATTGTTTAATTGTTCGTCTCTTACCGTTTTCTTGAGAACTATTTTAAAAGAAGGTACTCTGAAGAAAATAAATTTTATGGCTTCGTAAAATTTACTTCATTTTAGTACGCTATCATGAGGTGATTTAAAATCAAGAAAAGATGGAAAAATTAAAGGTTTCGGCGTTAAATTCATTGGTAAGGACCTCGTCATGTCGTATATTTTAATCGCTTTCAGATTTCGCACTGCTTTTATTCATGGATTGGAGTTCAGTAGGATTTTAGTGGAAATGTAGTGTACATGTTCATATTGAACTACCTTAAACTGCTGAAAAATGCCTTCTTAAATAAAATATTGTTTAAGCATCAACCATATTTTGAATATACCTGTGTTCATTATTAATATCACAGTCAAAATCGAACCAAAACCAGATTTTGTTTAGCAGTTTATATTTTCCAATGTATATCTCATCCTACCCAGAAAATTAGAATTGTTAATGAGTTGTGATCAATTTTTTACTACATTCGTTTAAATTGGTTATTTTTACATCTTGATAAATGTTCATGTCTTTTCTAGTGCTTGATCAAAATATATAGTAATCAATCATATCTTTTTTATATTGAAATTATTGTATGAGTTAGTTAGTTTTTATAATCAAATATATATTTTTATATCTAGGCCTCTCACGAAATCGAATATATGCATTAATGCTGCTGGGCGAACATTTCTGACACGGGATTTTCTGTCGAAGCTAACCGAATGCCGTCATCTCTTTTATTGAGACAATTCGACCTTGTTTCAATTTCTATGGCTTCTCGATTACTTCTTGGTTTATAGAAGCGGATGGGAGCTATGGTTCTGGAGTTTTCAAAATCAATTTTGTAACCTGTATGAAGATGATGTTGACCTAGATCTGAAATTGAATCGGAATTGCGAACAGAAATGGAATGTTCATAAATCCTCTTTTGGATTCTACGATTGGTTTGGCGTATATGAGATCGGGATCGGTCTGCACAAGGAATATTCATTTGGAATGTTGTCTTTGATTGATTGATCGGACAAGTGATGACAGTTTTGTGGGGGGGGGGGAGGAGATAAGAATTTTGTCGATTTTGTCAGTGACACCTTTGATGTAAGGAAGAAAAGCTGTCGTATGATGAGGGTTGGAGTCTTTGGGTTGAGATTGAGTGGGAGATTGATGTCTGTGAATGCTTCCCTACCGTTTCTCGATGTTATCGTAAAGCAAAACCAATCCCAAGGTTTTGCTCATTATGTTTTCCAAAAACCCACCACTCTCATCATCCACCTTCACAAATTAATGCAGTCATCAATAAATACCCTTGTCTCAAGATCGATACGCCTTTGCGATGATGCAAGTAGACCCACTGCTTTCTCTAGTTCAAAGCAAACTCATTCAAATCTAGGTTACCGCGAAAATTACATTAGCAGGATACTTAGATACTAGAAAAAATCTAAAAAACCAATAACTTTAAGCAAAGAAAATGTTTATTAAAAATTGAAATATGGCAATACTACTTTTCAATAACGATGTAACTTTTTGGGCGATTCATTTAACATTACCAAGAAAATAATGTAATGGCGTTTTGACTTACCCTGTATTCGATTTAACGGATGTTATCAAAATTAATCATAACAGATACACTGAGCTCACTTATATTAATCAGTCACCCTGTATATAATATATGCGCATTTTTTCGTGCTTCATCCAGAAAATAATATATTTGTCTAGTTTTTTCTCATACTTTTAATCTTTCGTAAATAGTTTCTTCCTAACAAAAAATAATGTACTGTTTGTGGATCCATATAGATTTTTATTGTGTTTTTCATACGATTGTGATTGTTGGTACTGTTCTCTCCGTGATATTCGTAGGATTGTTCTGTAATACCAAAATTGCATACTTTTTTTATATACTAGGGATAAAATTATCAGTTCTTATCCTATAGAGTGAAAATGCGTTTATTTTGTAACTGAAATCGAGGGTGATCCAATCTCATCCCACACCACAATATCTGGTGGGTAGTTCTGTTTGTCAGCGGACCGGAAAAACCTTCAAAACCTTCAGCGCGGGCCGGAATTGAATTTCTTTTGCCTTATCGTCGAGTTTGGTTTCAAAATAGAGACGACAGAAAAATGTAGCTATCGGAACAATTTTGATTGTTTATTCACAAGTGAAAAAACCTTTTAGGAATCAGTCACTGAAAAACCAAAAAAAAATGTGTAATATTCCTATTGTAATAAAACAGTCATAATAAATGTCATCAAATCAAGTACACAATGGATAAAAACTTTATTGTATATATGAAAATTGGAATGTCCATGATTTAAAATTACATCGAAAATGAAATTTAATCATTGATTTCTATTTGTAGAACGGCTTGAAATAAAATACCTCTACTATTTTCAGCAAATTCCATTGTTAAATACTAAAATTTGATTTTTATTAGTAGTACCAAGCTACATCATTAACAGACAAAGAAAATGTTAATCTATTAAAAGATAAATTACGAAAATTTTTGTATATCTTTAAATTTTATTCTATTCTTGAATGTTTTTGTTTGGTCAAATATTAAGGATATCATCACCCTAAAGTGCTAACCTGCTAAGTCCACTTTTAATGTAGAATAATATTTTTACATGGTTATAAAGCTATTTTGTTTTTTTCCACGAGCTGTTAACCACCGAACTCCTAATTATGCCAGAAATTCCATCTATTACCTGATACGAAAACCTGCTATCTGTAAGAATCTGGATTCTTAAAGGTAAATAGATTCAGAAGAGATACACATTCAAGTAGCATCATTGAATAACCAGCAAAGAGTAAGAAAAGAAAAAAACGTTTTCAAGTGCAGCAACCAACTTAGTTTGCACAAAAAAATAAACGACTACGGGAAACATGAAAAGGGTATTTAGGCAAGAGAAAAAAAAAGAAGGAAAATGGAACTATGAACAACCAAGGAAACCTCGTGCTATGAAACCGAGATGCAAAAAAGGGACAGGTGCTATCAAATCTGTGAAAATCACCTGGGGGAAAAGATATTTATAAACAGTCATGTTGTTTCTCTAGCTCTCAAAAGGACAAGAAATCGAAAAAAATGTGAAGAGACAGAAGGGGACAAATACTGCAATATTTTTTAAAGGTCAAAGACTAGAAACTTAGTAGAACCATGTTTTTGAATACGCTGGGAATCGGAAGGTGGACAGTTCATCATTGGAAAACATTTCTGAAGCTCGCGCCCCAAGTATTTTAAAACAACTGTTTATGGCCAGAAAAACCATTTGATATGCATCGTAAATGCTTAACTGAATTTTTAAGCCCATTGCCAGTTATGGAATCACACTACTGCAGAGCTAGCATTTCAGTAGCACCCAAAAGAAATACCTACAGTATTGTGCGAATTAATGGAATCATAGGCTGTTTTAATAAAAAAACAGTTTATTTAGTAAAAAATTATATTTTGACAAAACTATAAAGGTAAACTTACATCATTCAGTAGGAAATATGTCCCTCTTTGGCAGCAATTACTGCTTTTACCCGTTTTGGCATAGATTCTATGAGTTTCTGGCAGTTGTCAGATATCCTTTCATCTCGATACCAAACCTGAATGGCCGCTTCTATCATTTTTGTTTTAGTGGTACAGTCGATTTTTCGCAGTCTAGCTTTGCAAATGGCCCATAAATTTTCAATGGGGTTGAGGTCGGGCGAATTACCGGGCCAATCTAAAACATTAATCTTCTTATTAATGTAAAAATGCCATTATTTCCTTTGATTTGTGACAGGGAGCAGAGTCCTGTTGAAGAATCGCTCCTCCTTGGGGTTGACATTTTTGGAGTTGTTTGTCCAAATACCTTTCCAACATGGATTTGTATTTTTGGCTGTTCATCATGCCTTCAATTGGCACCAAAGATCCAACCAACCCCCATGTATGAAAAACATCCCCAAAACATTTTCTTGTGAATATTGAAAAAATGAAAAAAAATTCACAGTGATTCCATTAATTCGCACAATACTGTATTAACAGAATGGAAATCAAAACAATTTCTCTGATATCAGTAGCCACTTTTTCCAATGCCTTTGAAAACGAGAATTTTGCCTTGTTCCATCCGACAAAGGATCAGTGTGAAAAATGCATATGTTTCAAGAATAGAAGTAGTTCGGAAGATAAATATAAAGCACACATTCAGAGAAAAACAGAAGCCAGAGAAGAAAATGAAAAGGACAAAAAAGACCGGAAAGTATGTGTTTACAGCCGATTTACAAACAGTGTTGATGGCTCCAAAATCAAATTTCAGTACACTTTATCATAGAACAAAACTATAAGTGCACAACCTGTGTTTCTACAATCTAATAAATAGGAATTTATTTTTTTATCTTTGGAATGAAGCCGAAGGTGGTCTAAATACCGAAGAATTTGCGAGTATTTGGGCATCATTTTTGGAAACCCACATTCTTCCCCAAATTCCTAAGCAAGAGAATGAGAATGTGGAGACCATTAATATTTTTATGATGGCTGTAGCTATCAAAATCGCAAGTGTGTTATGGCCAATGCCCTACTGAATTTAGCAATAAATCATAATTAACAATAGAACAGAAATGTCTTGAGCCTGACCATACAAAAATTGAAGTGGATTCTGTCCATTCAGTGATAGAACAAAAGCTTAAAGATAGGATAATAAACGTACCTGCCGATTATGTCACCGTCTGCCAACAGGCAAGAAAGAAACCAGTTTCATCTAATGTAACTTATTTAAGTTTTGACTTCTTTAAGAAATTCGATGTAGTTCAGTTTTACAAAAGTATCCAATTAGGGAGGGCAAAGGGCGATGCAAAAGTTACCGATGTTCGTGCAATATTCACCCGAAGGACAAATTCACAAATTCAAAAGATGCATTTTACAGAAGAATGGACAATAATTCCTCAAAGAAAATCGCTAAATACTCATTCATGTTCCTGGGATCAGCTACAAAATCTACAGTCAGAAAGGCGTAAAATAACCGCGCGAAAATATGAAGATCTACAAATTATTAAGAAGAATTTGCCCGTTGATTACCACACATCTTAGGGAAAAAACGTTCCATTATTATTTCCGATTAATAGTAGTAATCTACTTTTTCAATAACTTATTTAAGACTTGGTTTTCGTTGGTATTAATAAAATTTTATTTTAAAGCAACAAGATTTAGTTTTATTTTAAAAGATCCTTGAAAACCTGTTCAAGTCCATTTTTACTACTGCTTTTAAATGGCGAAAACCTGATCTCCAAGATTAGCACTTTTCAGTCAATAACCAAAATATTTTAAACAACATTTGTATTTTTACAACGTTTTTTTGATCTCCTGTAAAATTAGTTAAAATGGACTTAGCAGGTTAACAATTTAGCTCTCCAAAAGCAGGTTAACTCCAAAAATATCGTACGGGACAGAATTTTTTCTAAATAGATACATGCTACAAATTAAAATTGTACTGGTTATTTAAAAAACATAAATCTTAACCTTTGCCATGTGATAATATTCGTTAAGTATTAAAAACGACCTTTCTCCTTTTTACAGCATTACTGGCGGCTGCTTGTCCAGATAGCGCCCCCTTTATGGCAGATGAATGTCTGATGGCCATACCAGACATCGAAGGTATTGATTACACCACCAAGGAGTACCTGAAATTCGCCAACCACATCAAATCCGTCGCCGAAAGATTAAACAAGGCTGCAGAAGAGTCGCAAAGGTCAGATGCTGTACGTTGGTCGCCACACAAGGTCGAGTTAGCTCTTTGGACACACTATGTTGTCTCCGAACACAAACCAGAGTTGCTCTCTAGTAAGTATATATTCGTGATGAATGCTCAATGTATTACTGTTCATGTTTAAAGCCAACACCTAAATGGTATCTTATGTTTGACGTATTAAGTTGAACCTCCATAGACATTCACATTGATTATAAACATTTCCTTTGAGACAGATGAAAATTATTCCTCTTTGATGTCTTATCCATATATTTGTATCTACTTGTAGTATACAATTATCAACCAATATCACACAACTGGCTATAAGTTAAAGAAAGAACTTTTTTATAGTACATTTGAAAACGATTGGTAGCACAAATTTTATAGCAAAGGGCTAAATACAGGGTTGGTCAATGCAAAAAAACTTAAGAATTGATACCTTCCTATCTCAATTTTCACTCGACTTTAATATGACCACCCTGACAAAGCTCACCTAGCTCTGATACTGAACTATTTTTTCAGAGCCTGCTAAATTTGTTAGATATTCTGCCCATTAAAAGCAGAAAAATTTTATGTGGTGATTTTAATATTGACTTTGCTGCTGTTTGTGCGACCCAATTGTCTTTGGTAACTATTTTTGAATCATATGGTCTCACAATGCACGTTAATTCTCCAACAAGAATCTCAAAAACATCATCCTCGACAATTGATTATGTGGTTTCCGATTTTCCACCCGCTGACGTCCATTCTACAGTTATTAGTGGGGGGCTTTCTGATCATGAAGCGGTATATACCAAGTTTAGCAGTTTACAAACACCTCACTCAAAAACCCGACGATTAGGTAGGATTTTTTCCACTCAAAACTTTCGTAAATTTTATAATTCATGCTTGACTTCTGACTGGAGTTTTTCTTCTGGGGACATTGACTGTAATGTTAGTGATTTTCTAAATAGACTTGTATCTATTTTTAATAAAGCATTTCCTCTATTAAACATCAGGCCAAAACATAACAAACCTTGGATTACCAAAGCCATTCGCATATCTGCGAAAAATATGCGTTCTCTGCTATATATTAAAAAATTTAATGACAGTATCCCCATCTCTGATTATATCAACAAGTACAGAAAATGCTATATAAAACTACTCAAAGTAGCCAAAAAATCCTACTTTCATAATCGCTTAACAAGCTCCAAAAATATTTCAAAAGAAACTTGGTCAATAATAAACGATTTTCGAAATAAAACCAGTACAGCGAATCAAACCTTTTCTTTTCCTAACCCCGAAAATCTAAATGATTACTTTGTTAATGTGAGTAAAAATATAACCTCAACTATTTCGCCACAACAAGATCCAGTTTCCTATCTCTCTAATTCAAAAAACATTGCTGATACCTTCTTTTTAAGAAAAGTTGATAAGACGGAACTCATTTCAACAATTCGTAGTATAAAAAGCACATCGTCCCCTAGTACAGATGGATTATCTATTAAAATTTTCTCAAATCTACCGCATAATGTTTTGGAGGTCATGGTCTCGTTAGTAAATGATTCTCTTGAAAAAGGTACATTCCATAACTGCCTAAAGACTGCAATCGTCATTCCTCTTCATAAAGGTGGAGAAAAATCTGATGCATGCAACTATAGACCTATTGCCTTGTTACCAGCACTATCAAAAATTATTGAAAGACTTATAAAAGTTCGACTTATGCCCTTTCTCCTTAAATATAATATTTTATCGCAAAATCAGTTCGACTTTTTGTCTAATAAATGCACTAGTGATGCCATATTTTCTGTGTTACATGATGTATATCTATCACTAAACAGTAACCTCTCCTCCGCCACCGTTTTCTGCGACTATTCCAAAGCCTTTGACTGCGTAAATCACGACATTCTATTAAAAAAATTAACTTTCTATGGAATTCGGGGTGTGTCTTTGAACTGGTTCAAAACTTACATGGTAGGTAGGAAACAATTGGTTAGAATAAATGACACCGACTCTAGTTGTAAAGATATTGAGTGTGGAGTACCGCAAGGTTCAGTATTAGGTCCCATTCTTTTTTTACTTTTCATTAATGACATCACTTACTTGAGAATTAAAGGGAAAATTTTTCTATTTGCTGATGATACCAGTATTACTTGGAGCAGCTCTGATATTTCAACGCTTCATTCAATTATAACCGCTGATTTACTTATAATCAAGGCTTGGTCAGACTCCAACTTACTTAGATTTAACGTGGATAAGACTGTAGCATTATCTTATAAAGGAGTCATGCAACCCTTGCTTTTGAATAAGAGCCAAATCAATATCGTAAATTCCGTGAAATTTCTAGGTATTCTCATTGACAGTGATCTCAAATGGTCCTTGCATACTGACTCCTTAAGGAAGAAACTAGCCTCAGCTTGCTTTGCAATAAGATCTGTTTCGAAGGAACTAAATTTATCTTCTGCCAAAATGGCATATTTCTCATTGTTCGAGTCCCATCTTCGATATGGGCTTCCATTTTGGGGTTCTAGTACAGCGGCCCAATTTGATACTATTTTTAAGTTGCAAAAAAGAGCAATCCGTTATCTATTTGGTCTCAAACAAACAACTCATTGCAAGACCTACTTCAAAAATCACGGAATTTTGACGCTTCCCTCTTTATTTATTTTGGAAACGGTTTGTTTGATTCGAAAGCATCTAAACATTTTTCCCGATAGACCTGACCATGGCTACTCCATTAGAAATTCGGATTGTAACGTTTATTTGCCGATCCCGTCCACTCAGCTAGTAAAGAATTCTATTTTATATCGTGCAAAGAAACTTTATCACCTTCCAAGAGAAATTAAATCCGCAACATCCTTCATTAAGTTTCGTAAGGTGACAAAAATCTATGTCTCAGAAAGACCATATTATTCAGTTGACGAGTTTCTTAATGTATAACAAAGAAACAAAATTAGTATTGTTTATAATTACATTTGGGTGTCTCAAGCAGTGACTACAATTTGTCTCATTTGTTGTTGTCTGTACAAATTATGTAGGTTATACAATAATTTTACTAATTTAAAATTGTGTTATTCTGTTTTTTACTATATTTGTTTTTGTTTTATACTTTTGTACTATTTGACTGATTTATTTTTAGCTTTGTCCATAAAATTGTTCAATAATTTTCAGTGACAATAAAGCATATTTCTATTCTATTCTATTCTAAACGTCAAATGCAGCACATCAGCAAAATCAATAGTATATTTCGGTTACTAACTAGCATCATATAAACTTATAATTAGTAATATAAATATATAATTACATACCTAAATACATAAGTTGTCTTCTTCCGACAAGGAGGCTCATCATCATCAGTTTCTTCATTTCCCACGGAATTAATAATTGGTTATATTGTTTCCTCTATTAACATATCGAGTTTCCAGAATATTTCTTCCTCTTTTATGATGCGTCTTATAGCTTTTTGCCAATTCTCAGATCAAATTTTTGATACGTGAGTCAGAAAACAGACATTTTCAGAACAATGCTGAATATTGTATTGTAGAAAATCTCCGACACTGTTTAATGATGTTTTATCTCCAAGTGCAATAAAATTTGTGATATCAATCATTTTCAAATATACTGTAGTGTGGTAAGGGTTATTCAATAATATAAAACTATTATTACAGGTATTTTCGCAGGTAGTCCTCTAGAAAATGGAAACGCTGTTCCAAAACCAGTAGTTCATCAAAATGGTGACTCAATAGATCCTGCGACATCTGATGAGAGTAATCAAGGTCCACTGAACGGCAAAACTATTCTAGATGAAGACACCACTACCACCTCGTTCACAGATAACAGCCCGCCATCTTTGGACCAAAACGAAGAGACCAATGACAGTGTTGTTTCTGGATCAGAAGGTAAACTTTCAGTTTATAATACAATTTTTATTTCTTTCGTTTTCAAGCCTGGCTTGACTAGGGGTTTCTTTTCGTTTGCTTGCATAGCTCGTATATTACTTGTTGAAAATGAGTTTTTTGAAAAATGCTCCAATCCAATAGTGTCCAGAATTCGTGATCTTCATTAGCTATCCATGGATCAGCGACGTCGAAATCTTGAGTTTCAAAAATATTTTCATTCCACCTATTCTTAACATCATCTAATTGTTCGGTTTCCTGGAGTTTCTCCCAACGCTGCAATAAAGGAATATTATAGTCAGAATCCCAGTCCAATCTGAATCATTTTCTAAATTATTTTGGGCATTGTTTTCGTTTTCATGAAAAACATTGAAAAGTTTTTTTTTAGAAACATTTTCGTTTTCTCTACAATCATTATCGCTATCTTAACTGAGAAAAAAATCGCCAAAGATCTCATCATAACCTCACAAGTTTCACTACATGTATCAACAAACTAACAAAGTAGGCAATATTGTCAAATTTTTCAAAGGAGTAAGATTTACTGATAAATATGAAGTCCAATATGCTGCAATATAGTACGCAGCGATGCCCAACCCGAATAGTCACCGTATAATAAATTAGTAAATGTCTTCAACCTGCATCTGTAATTTACTGTACTATTTTTGTGATTTATTTCTCGTTTTAACAAATTTTTTTCTACCAAACTTGATATTTATGAATTAAGAGTAACAAGTTATTTTCAAATCTGCAAAACTATACATGGCTTCCCATTTAACCCATTGACGGTCAAGCAATGAAAAATAATAATTTTTCCGAATTTTTTTATTGAAACTAGTTAAAAATGTCTCAACTAAGATACATTTATGATTAAAAAAAAATTACAGTTGCGTGTACACACCCTTAGCCAACACTGTTATACATAGTATAAAATGATTCGAAACATTTGGGATGTAGATGAATTTGACTTTTTTTTTCATAAATATATAGTATGACTTTTGCATAACCTTCATTTCTTTCGTGCACTTGTATCATGCCTTCTAATCAAATGACCAATATTGTCAAATCTTCATCGCCACACTATCTTAAAGAGGGACGTCCACAACCCGAGTGAGCAGCCAGTTCTGTGTTCACTATTTCAGCAAAACGTTCAATCTTCCCGCTATTTACAACTGTGCTGTCAATAAGATTCATAAATAGAGGCCACCACTATTTCTTCTTTCTTATTCTGATTCGATAACTAGCAATGCCATTATCGTGCATTTCAACACCACCCATAAACATATTGTATTCAGCAGTTCAGCTACTACATACATATTATTCATAGTATATACCCTCCTAGTAAGGTAACTCCCGTATAAAGTTTTGTTTTTATATGGGATTAGCTACAAAAACAAAAAAGTATCAAGTTTGTATTTACTAAAAGTTTGGTATAATTAGGTACTGTTGTACCTGGTGCTTGTAAAAATAAACTCCTACTCCTCAGAATGTTTAATAGCCATTTGTCTAACTTTAACTTTGACCCATCAACAAAAAATATTCTTTTGATTGGAAATACTATACCGTTTTGGTAATGTACCTTCTTCCTCTTTAGCAGTGTTTATTAGGTATACAAAAATGATGTATACTGTTTTTATCGTCTATTTCTAAAATTTTTTTTATAAATATGTAGAAATAAAACAAAACTACTCATACTCATACAAACCAGATCAAATAGACAGGCGCAACAACAACAATTTATAGACGATATAGAATACGTGAATAGATTCACGTATTTAGGAATGGATCTGGTCGAAAATAATGAAGAAGAACCGGAAATAAATAGAAGGCTTATGCTGGCAAACAAAGCCTATTTCGCGATGGGCCACATATTCAAATCGCGAGACGTACACCGGAAAACAAAACTCGGGTATATAAAACAATAATCCGACCCATAGTAAGTTATGGGTGTGAAACATGGGTTATAACACAGAAATCTACCAATGCATTAGACGTGTTCGAAAGAAAAATATTGCGTAGAATACTGGGTCCAATAAAGGAAAATAACAACTGGCGAATTAGATATAATAACGAAATATACGAACAATACACTGAACCAACACTAGCACAATACACTAGACTGCAGAGATTACGATGGGCAGGGCATGTGGCCCGCATGCATGAGAACAGAATCCCCAGAAAATTACTAAACGCAAGAATGCAAGGAAAAAGACCTGTTGGAAGACCAAAAAAGAGATGGGAAGACGAGGTAGATGAGGATGCCAAAAATCTCCTAAAAACGCGTTCATGGAAAAGAACAGCAGTAAATAGAGATGTTTGGAGAGGTTTAATGAAGGAGGCCAAGGCCCGGCTTGGGCTGTAGTGCCATTGGATGGGATGGATTTCTAAAATTTGGGATACGATTGCTGTGAACAGTGTGGTGTAGAATCAAAGAATATAGACACTTATCTATATTCTTTGGTAGAATTGTTTTATTGTTTAATATTTTCCTCTTAATAACTGTCAACCATTATGAAAACAAGTCCATTTCATTTTGGGATTTGGAAAACGAAAGCGACTGCTAGTGTAGTCGGTACAACCAGAAACTCAGCATTTTTTACCTTTAATTCTATTGTGTCCCATTTCAACGATGGTAAAACACATTTTTTACAATTTAAGATGATAAACCAAACAAAAAACTCAATTTACAATATGGCGTCCCAATCACAATACTCAAAATCCGCCACCGCACATGCGTCTCCTGCTATGTTATACCCCCACCTAAAGTGACTAGGAGCGCCGTCGCCATTAGGAATAGATGGGCCCATGCAAATCACTATCCCCTCCCGTCCTATTCCACTTACACTACTATGGGATATGTATTGTGTAGTTATCCTGTTATATATTATTCTGTAGATTTAAAGCGTATATCTATTAAGATATTTTTATGTGATCTCTATATACTAGATCCTCATGTTTCTGTTTATTGCAGAATTAAGCAAGGATTCTCTAGGCTCGACAGAAGACTCCAACAGTATTGGTGAAACTATCAAACGGCCGTATGAAGACAATTCCATCCAGCCGTCAAGCAAAAAAATACGAGAGGATGTAGAAGCGAAGTGACAAATACGTAATTACCTATAATAATTTTTTACTTTTATTTTAAGAATAGGATCTATACACACATTGTAAGTTACATTATTTAACTTTTCCTTTAAATTTCGTGAGTGTTACTATGCAAGTATGTTTTCATTTTCGAAAAATTCATTATTGATGTTTCAGATACTTAAAAATAAATAACTAGAAGAAATACGCCGAAATCTAAACAGTAAATGTTCATTTTGTAACAAAAAAAGTATAAAATTATTCACTGTTCAATAATCACACAAGAAAAATCTTTTATTTTCTAAAAGTTAATTAGTACTCACGCAATTTCTTCATATTTTGATATCTTTTAAAATTTGTATTAGAATTGTATTGGTTTAGTGAAGATATTGACAATAGCAATATTCATTTATAGTTCATTACAATGCAGTATACATTTCTATATTTTCACTTTTATATATTTAAATTATTTGATAGTAATAGGAAATTTATTTGATGAGAAGTAAAGATAATATCAAATTTTGAAATGCCAGCAACTTTGATGTTAATGAAAATATAATTTAAGCAGTGTATCTGAAAATCTTTTAAATATAACCCACTATTAAATCAGGAATCATGTTTTTATTTTACCATTCTCATTATCATCATTAGTGCTACAATCCTAAAGTAGAGCTTCAACCTTCATAAGCCTTCTTTGCCTTTGACATCCATTGACAATTGTTGCCGGTAATTTGGCACACTTTTTCTAACATCCTGATCCTCATCAACCTTCCATAATAAATGTTTGCCTATCTCTGTCCTACTTCCTCGTTGCTTGTGACCTAAGGACTCGTTTGGAAGGTTGTTCTGTCGCGATCATGCTAGATGTCTTATCCACCGACATTCTTCGGATCTTTTTGGAGATGGTCCTTGTTTTGGGCAAAAGTTTCGTTTTGTTTATTTGTCTATTTAGTTCGGTACCATACATAGAGAACTAAATTAATAAGAAGTAAACTTGGAGCACTGATTCATTTTTTGCACAATGGAACCGTTGCTCAGATCTGGCGGATTATGGTCGTTTGCAGGACTTGGCTTAAAATATAAGGATATACTCACAATGATTTAAATAATCTGTTAATCAAATTAAGACTGGATGTAGGCTTCGACTCTAGCCGAATTTTGACTAAAAAGGGGCCTCCGTCCAAACGGAAAAAGGGTCTTCCAAACTAAGATGAAAGAGGGCCTTCAAACTAGGATGCGAAAGGCCTCCATCCTAGGATAGGATGAGCTAGGACGAAAGTGATATCTGTCCTAGGATAAACTAGGACCTACAGATGAGAAAAATACATTTACAAAAATAAGACACGCGAAGGAACAAAATGTACAATGGGCGAAATACAATTTCCGAATTTTGATCGAAATATTCTGAACCTTGAGTGGACCTTACGGAATCCTTTAAAAATGATTATTTAGAATGTTTAAAAATAAATAAATACCGATCGGCAGTGCTAGTTGCTTATGTGAAGGGATTAGTTTTAATATTTCCAAACAAGTGCAAGTTGAACAAAATGGGTAGCTGAGTGGTACATGGGTAAATATTTAACGGATGTTATGCGGAAAATTCGCAAGACGGCAAAGAATATTTAGGTAAGAATTACACAGCTCTACTGGGTGTTTTACAAAATTTTAAATTTAGAGAAAGTGGCACATGCGTGCTAGAATATTCCAGAGCCGCCTTTGTACGAAAATATTAAATAGTAAAAAATATAAAAACTGGACATTTTTATTTATTCTCGACCGTTTTTAATTGATCCTTTGTCTAAATAAATGAATATTGATATATACTAAGACAAGACTATTTTGTATATTGGAACATAAGTATTTCTTCTACGTTACTATTTATTGCTATATGAGATTTTGTTTCAAAATGGAAAGAATTTTCCGAATAACTATGAATACATGCCTCAACATTTCATTGGTCTGTACAAATTTATGGACTTTCCATTTTTGTATTTACTTTAGAAAATATTAGACTTTAATATTTTATAAAACCTTGAATTTCCTGGAGAGGAATGCAAAAAGCCCAGTTTTTGTAAGTAAATGTTATGTTTTCCATCAGTATTCGCCAGGTACACAAAAGTTTATATTCTTTAATTTCACGTTTTTAGAAAATATTTAAAGTAATTAGTAAAATAATGGAAAACATAATTATGGACATTTATGTTATAGTGAAATTCCAGGAAGTTCAAAACCAAAGGAAATTTCTGAGTGTATAAAAATATTATGTAAAAGTTTCCTGTTTCTTCACAGATTTTTTGTTTTGTTGATTTTTAATGATCTATTAGTCATTTATAAATTTTTGATACTGTTCTTTATCATCATAACATATTACCATTACTAGGGTAGTTTAAGTAATTTATTTGTTTTTTATGTATTCCTTTAACGTAGGCATTCTTTTATGTATTAATAATATGAAGTACATTCCATTTTTAGTTGGTTTTTTTCGTTTCCTTCGATACTGAATGTCTCATTGTAATTTGAAACTATTCATATATCAATTGTGCCCAGTTACAAAGATAACTTTCCAATATATGTACTGGTGCTGTTTACAAATTTAAAGATTCAATAGTCAGCATATAAATACATTTTTACATAGCAGCAAACATCAAGTAAGGTGATGTTTCATCGCGTAGATTTTAAAACAGTGGCAGGCACAAATGTATTCAAGTAGCAATACTAACCAACACTGAATGAATGTCATCGTTTGACCAGTAACTCTAGTCGAAAATACGTCATTTCGCGCACTTCACCATAAACGATGTTTGCTGTATATTCGAAAAGACTGAATTATAAAAAATATCCAAAGTTTAGAAATTTTATCAAATAAAACAACTTTTTAATATGTTAATCAGCCGCTAAACCATAAATTTTCCACTTTATAAGGTTTTGTTTGACGTATTTATAATTTATATGAAGTCTTTCCTCAATTTGAACACAATTTTCAGATCATGGTTAACCAGCTCTCCATTTTTAAGTCATGGGAACCCGGCTAATGATTTTTTAATTCATGGGAAACAGGCTCCGGATCTTTAATTCATGGGAACTCTGCCCGATTTTTAGTTCTTGGGAATTTGGCTCCCGATTTTGAACTCATGGGAATTTCCAATTATCTGTTCACGTAATCGTCTACAGTATATTCATAAAAGGATAATAAATACCAACCTAGAATCGGCATAGGCATGATGCTATAAACTCTCCCTCCAAGAAATGCTTCCGATTTTTAATTCATGGTAACTCAGCTTCCGATTTTTAGTTCATGGGAATTCGGCTCCCGATTTTTAGTTCATGGGAACCCGACTTCCAATTTTGAACTTATGGGAACTTTTCATTCAGGACCGAAAGACTTTTAGATGATGTTTTTGACGAAATTCTCTGCTTGAAATCGCAACGTCCTTTCTTATATAAAATATTTCAACAAAACATTTCCCCAGTATATGTTTATTTCATGAACAGCAGATCTAGCCAAACTTTATAAAAGCTGCGTCAAATGAGTATCTAATTATCAATCGAAATTTCTGATCCCTAATTTGTCAAAAAAAATCTTTTGATTATAAATTGTAAATTAGGTGAAGGTAATTATAATTAAATAATTATTTACTCGTTATATGGTACAAAAATACTACTTTATTCCCATTTCCTTATATAAAAAAAACTAGATTGGTCAGTTTGTTTTAATTGTTTATCCTCAACAGTAGATCTTATAGGAATTGGAGCATTTTATGTGGAAATTTCTTTATTTCTTTGTAGTTTTATTTCTCATTTTCTTTTAATTAGGATGCTATGAACTCGTTCCCCAATTTTGAACAAAGGAACACAATTTTGAGCTCATGGGAAATTAACTCCATTTTAGTTGATGGGAACACGTCTCCTGATTTTTAGTTCATGGGAACCCAGCCCCTGTTTTTTAATTCATGGGAACTCTGTCCCAATTTCTAGTCCTTGGAAATTCGGCTCCCGATTTTGAACTCATGGCAATTTCCAATTATCTGTTCACATAATCATCTGCAGTATGGTAATAAAAGGATAATAAAGACCGACCTAGAATCGGCATAGGCATGATGCTACAAACTCTCCCTTCAATTTTGAATACAGGAACACAATTTTGAGCTCATGGAAACTGCTTTCCATTTTTAGTTCATGGAAACTCTGCTCCCGATTTTCAATTTATTGGAATTCGGCCACCGATTTTGAACTCATGGGAATTTCGTCACAAAGTAACACAAAACTCAGCTTCCAATTTTTTTGTTCATGGGAATTCGTCTCCCAAAGATTTTGAACCCGACCTTGGATCGGCATAAGCATGGTGCTATAAACTCTGCCCCCAATTTGAACACAGGAACACAATTTTAAGCTCATGGGAAACGCTCTCCATTTTTAGTTCATGAGAACCCGGCTCCCAATTTTGAACTCATGGGAACTTCCAATTTTCTCCTCATTTACTCTTAAATTATGTCTAATTTCTTCAGACAGGATCGCAATATTGTAATGCTCTTAGGTTTGATAGATAACTAGATAGGTTAATATGAAAATCAATTGGACGATGTTTTTGACGGAATTGTTTGCTTTAAAGCGTATCTGCAGTTATTTAATGTTACGAAATTGGTTGTTTTATTCGATATGCTGAAACCCAACACTTTAAATGAAATTTTCTAAACATTGGATAGTTTTATCTGATCCCAATATTTTGACATGCTTACAGAATTTTCAATAAATGTCCAGAGCATTGTGTTCACTGTTAATGTTTAGTTACAATAAATTACAATAACTGATTACTTACTGCAAAAATATATATTTAGTAATTAATAAGGGTATATTTTTGGGTAATTGGTAAGTGCATAAAGCTTCTAAAGCTCTAAACATTCTATGCCCTATTCTATTGTTAAATTGTTAACAATACGATTTTAAGCCGATCCGGTTTTGTAGTCGGCTTTTTGAAAAATCAGACATGCGTGCTCACGACCCAGCGTGTAAAACAATACCGAATGAGAGTCCGTTGTACGTTTACAGCGTTGATCTCGGTCACCTTAACTTCTTACAGTCAATCAAAAATTTTATTTTGCAAGTAATCAGATTATGCAAACGATTATTGCACTGACAAATACTATTTACGAATAGCGTTATAAGGGATTTTTTTTAATGATAATACAAATCGCAAAATATTGTGGGACACACAGTATAAAAAAGTATAAACAGGAATTTTTGCATTTGAAGTTTTCCTGTAATCTTGTACATAATATAATATATATTGATATATTTTTTATTTCATAGCAGT